TCTTAGGTTGTCACCAGATCAGGAATTGGGGGGAATCTTCCTGGTGACAACTGTCTAAGAAGGGATTTCCACGCCAGGAAATAAGAGGGATCTCCCCATTGTGACACGGACATGGGTGGGGTGGGGGGTGTATCGGTTACAGTGAGTGTCGCCATGGAAACCCTTCCCACGTGTACAGGTCAATCAATCAAATACGAGCTTTGCACTTACGCGGAGGTGATGGCTCTGTAGCGCTCCAGCCCGGCCGTGTCCCAGATCTGCGCCTTCACCAGGTGCCCGTCCAGGGTCAGCGTGCGCGTGGAGAACTCCACCCCGATGGTGGTGCGGCTGTCGTGGTTGAACTCATTCCGGGTGAAGCGGGAGAGGAGGTTGGTCTTGCCCACTCCGGACTCGCCAATCAAAACCACTGCGGAGGAGGAGGGGGGAGGGGAATATTAGAAAAAAACCCGCTGTTTTTAACGCGTGTCAAAACCTGCGCCGCTCCGATCGCCGATAATTATTTCCGGCCAATCAAATCTTTTCATTCAGAATTCAAAGTAACATTTTTCTTTCCTTAAATATGAAACATTGTATCCTAATATTGCGCAATTCCCTCTTCCTCCAGCAGGTGGAGCCCTCGGCCCCTTTCACCCCGTATTGCAGCCTCTCCTGTGTAGAATATGTGTTCACGGAGCCCAATAGCTCAGGATGAAATATACACACGCCAATGAATGAGTCAGAGCAGAAGCTCCTCCCCCCTCCCTCATTATGACTATGTCTGAGGTTTCAATTAGAGACAGAGTGCCTGAAAGGAGATGACAACATCATCTGTTACTGGTCTTGTCTCCGCCCCCTCCTGTAATAAAGACTGCTCACTGCTGTTCTCTCTCCTTGTGCAGGGTGACTGGTCTTGTCTCCGCCCCCTCCTGTAATAAAAACCACTCACTGCTGTTCTCTCTCCTTGTGCAGGGTGACTGGTCTTGTCCCCGCCCCCTCCTGTAATAAAGACCGCTCACTGCTACTCTCTCTCCTTGTGCAGGGTGACTGGTCTTGTCCCCGCCCCCCCCTGTAAAAAAAACCGCTCACTGCTATTCTCTCCCTTGTGCAGGGTGACTGGTCTTGTCTCCGCCCCCTCCTGTAATAAAAACTGCTCACTCTTGCTCTCTCCCTTGTGCAGGGTGACTGGTCTTGTCTCCGCCCCCTCCTGTAATAAAAACTGCTCACTCTTGCTCTCTCCCTTGTGCAGGGTGACTGGTCTTGTCCCCGCCCCCTCCTGTAATAAAAACTGCTCACTGTTGCTCTCTCCCTTGTGCAGGGTGACTGGTCTTGTCTCCGCCGCCTCCTGTAATAAAGACCGGTCACTGCTGTTCTCTCTCCTTGTGCAGGGTGACTGGTCTTGTCTCCGCCCCCCCCCTGTAATAAAAACTGCTCACTGCTGTTCTCTCTCCTTGTGCAGGGTGACTGGTCTTGTCTCCGCCCCTTCCTGTAATAGGGATCAGGGACGCACAATGTGGATTTCTATCCTTTGTTGCCATTGGTCGGAGTTGGGCTTTAGGGATCGGCGGGCAGATAGAGGTCTGGGAGATGTTATCCGGCAGATTTTATGGCCGAGTTTGTCGGTAAATACTCCCTGAGATAAGGATCGTCGGCGCGCTGACGTTGAGGGCTGAAAGTTCAGAGCTGGTTACAGGGTAACCTCACCTCTCTCTCTCTATGCAAGTCTACCAGTCACGTCTGACTCATTGAAAACAATGCAGCTGTGGATCAGGGAGGTCGGCCAGCCCATACAATGCGGCAACAGGCTGACAAATCTCTCCGGCGTGGCCGTCGGCGTTTCCCAAGGAGACCAGTAAGCCGTTCCCAGTCATTACTGGGCGAGCCCTCGCAGTACAAACAGACCCGAGCTAGGCGTGTGCGAAGCGAGGCAAAGATCACAGAGCCACGCCGGGCCCCAGGAATGAACAAGCGGCTGGGCGTAGCCGCATTCTTTCCTGAACCTTGCTCTGCGTCGCTTCAGGTGGGGGGGTGTTCTGTAGTCCCGTCTTTGGGTGACAACGCTGCTTCTCCATTCGGTGCAGCGAGTGAGCGTTGTCACCCGAGGACAGGAAGTGTGTCGCTGGCGGGATCACCAGGTGTGTTTAGATACGCATTGGGTTTCAAGTGAATCCAAAGCCGAAACTTTCGAGGAAATGGGAGGAAGTTGATGTTCCGTTGGGGGAGAATTCCCTCACTTCCTGTCCCAGCGGCACAACAGGAAGTGAAAGGAAATGAGGGTGAATCCTGTTGTCACCGGAAAGCCAGTTGTCACCGGAATGTGTCCCCTATTGGAAGATTGCCCCTCACCCCATCCCATGGGAGCTGAGCTGACCCATTGGCTGATTACCTCTTGTCCGTGGTTGCAGGTAGATGTCCAATCCCCTTATTTTGCCCCAGTCACTATATCTGCCCCCCCCCCTCCCCCCTCTCTGCAGGTCACTCTGAAGATTATCTGCCCCGAGGACGGTTGGCAGCGCCCGTGGTCTATAAACGCGCATGCCCCGGCAGGAGCCAATCGCAGATCCGCATACCGGTTCTCTTATCTCCAACCGCGACCCATCGATGACAAGTGGGCACGGCCCGGGCCCGGATGTATGCAATCAGGAGTCAATGCCCTTAAAGGGGCAATAAGATCCCTTAAAGGGGCAATAAGATCTCTAAAGGGGCAATAAGATCCCCTAAAGGGGTCATAAGGTCCCTTAAAGGGGCAATAAGGTCCCGTAAATGGGCAATAAGGTCCCTTAAAGGGGCAATAAGGTCCCTGAAAGGGGCAATAAGGTCCCTGAAAGGGGCAATAAGGTCCCTTGAAGGGGCAATAAGGTCCCTTAAAGGGGCAATAAGGTCCCGTAAAAGGGCAATAAGGTCCCGTAAATGGGCAATAAGAACCCGTAAAGGGGCAATAAGGTCCCTTAAAGGGGCAACAAGGTCCCGTAAATGGGCAATAAGAACCCGTAAAGGGGCAATAAGAACCCGTAAAGGGGCAATAAGGTCCCTTAAGAGGGCAATAGGATCCCTAAAAGATCTAGGTCGCTAAGGATAAATAAAGTCCCTTAAAGGAGCAATACGATCCTGTAAAGGGGCAATAAGGTCCCTGAAAGAGGCAATAAGGTCCCTTAAAGGGGCAATAAGGTCCCTTAAAGAGGCAATAAGGTCCTGTAAAGGGGCACTAAGATCAGAAAGGACCTCACCACATACACGTTATCCGGGCTCCCGGGTGGGGGTGTCTCCTCTCAGGGAGCGGACTCACCTTTGAACACAAAGTTGTACTCGTCCTCTTCCGATTTCATGGCGGTGGCCGTCACATGGGCTCCCTGGTCGGTGTCGGTGGCTCGGGGTATTAGCTGTGGCGGGCCGTGTCGGGGTGGCAGGTAGGAGAGGAGATCCCTGGCATAGCTGGGCCCCCCGGTGGAGTGTCTTTGCGGAAGGTGGGGACAGGTGCAGCGAGGTGACTCAGTGGGCGTTGCGGAGCTTCCGTTGGGTTGGGTCAGGTGTCACCTTTCAGGCTCGACAGGTAAAGGCGGACCCCCCCC